TATTTTTGATTCCTTATTGTTTTTCTTGGTGATGAGACATGTGCTCTGGTGGAATAGAGTGTCAGTGCAAATAGCGTAAAGATTAATGAACCATCAATTAGAAAACTCACCAGAATATACAAGCAAGCCTTGTATGAAAATATCATCACATTATTAGAAGATAAATCTTTCAAAGAAAACGTTGTAAGAATTAAAGCTGAGTTGACCTGGAAAAAGTCAAAGAAATAGGGATGATGTTGAGTTTGAAGAAAACCAGTCCACCATTTCTCTTATCAATGACTGTGATGTTTCTAAGGACTGAAACGGTGCTCGCTGACTCACCTCCATGTACGAAATTAAAGGAACATATTTGTTAGAAAGCGTGTTTTGGACCATGATATGGCCGAAGACGAAAAGGATCGATAAGAGGCATTTTCATTTGTTCACATCAAAGTTGGAAAATGCAAAACTTCTTTGTTACTGAATTTTATAATCGTTAGTTTTTACGTAATTATTACTTTGCAGTAACGAGTTTATTTTCAAGACTATAGACAAAAAAATGGATTCATCAATGTATGTAACTTGCTGTTATGTAGTCAAATGTTGCCATGTAGGAGTATTAGCATCAGTCAGTTAGAATCCTAATCTTCTCAACTGCTATGTGAAAGAAAGAGGCAGAAAACAGAAAGTGAATTTGAACCGAATTAAACTAGCATAGATTATTGTCGATTTCGATCGTATTATGTCCGTTTGCTTTGTGTGTTGATCTAAAATATGTTTCTATACTTGAATAAAATCCGTTTTCATTGTGTTAAAGTTAAAAATTTTCTGAACGATATGAAAGATCAACTCGCAAGATCTATCTATACTGGATTGCATCAAAATTGTTGCAACAATTCTCATTCTAGTTTTCTAAGTTTTGTTGGTCAAAACGTTTTTCCATATATGTTGGATGTAATTAAAATTTTCATGAAAAGCAGAAAGCAGTCCTTATTTTTCGTAGCTTGAAAATCTAGGATTTTTTACATTCTGTAGAATAGCTATGGTGAAAACCCAATTGAAGTATTTTTTGACATAAAGAAGCGTCGCTGGAATTGCCAATCAGCAATTATTGCTGGCAGCAAGCAAACTAGACATAAGAACTGCGTTGGAAACTACTCGTTGAAGCAGAGCATTTTATATATTAAATGTTCTTGTTTTATCCATCAAACAAATATTTTCTGGAAGATGAAACTAGCAAGAACTTGTTAGTTTCATGAGTGAAAAGTGAGACAAGTGAATGGCAGAACTTGTTAGATTAGAATGAGTATAGTTAGATTGCTTATCCTATCATAAACAGAAGAAACCGGTGTTTTACTTTTTTGAGAGTTAACTCGATAGCTTTATTTTATTTTACTTTATATTTGTATAAGCTTTTTCATATCAAAATAATCTTTAATCCTTAAACTTCACTGAATGAGCTTCTATCTTTTCAGTAAAGCAGCATTTAACTGTTGGAGCATCCGGAAATTCAACAAAAACTTGAGGCACACGAAAGTAAGGTGCACCGCTAGTATCTCAATTTATGCACTTGCTGACCACGGTAGATACATGTCCTTTAACCCATTAAAGCATTTCTGCTTGAAAAATGTGTTGACTTTGATCGTCTTGAGAAGACGATTAAGGACCGATAATCGGTAGGATACCGACAACGATAAACCGATAAATTATCCTTACCGTTGCATGCCCAATCATGTAGAGCTATCGAGGGTTAGTCTAAAGCTGTCAAGTTTTTGTATTGATTCCAATCAAGTTATTTACATAGTTCAAGAATTTTAAGCTAAATTATCATAGAGTCATCCACCAACCGGTCTTAACTAGAAAAGTCTCTCTTATCCAAACACTTATCCAAGTACATCACGGACGGTTTGTATATTATCATATACTCTAATGTATGGTCTTATATCCACTTCACTCTATAGCCTTGCAAACTTCATATTCGGTAGTTCTTGCTGAGAAATTTCAAAGTTTTTCGCAATTAATATGGCCGGAAGATTTAGATCCAATAGTATGAATGTTTTCTTTTTTGTTTTTGATCTAGGATCTCGAATATTATTACGAAGAATAGTAGAAAAACTAAAAGTTCATTTGAAACAATTGAATTTATTTCCAAGCCACCATCTAGATCAATCATCAGAAGCGAAGAATACTCATCTTTTAATCATCAAGTGTCAACGCCAAATAACACGTTTGTTTTTATTAGTAGCACTAATAACATTATTTATTATTATTTTGTATACATTATTATTAAAAGAAAGACATATTCATATAGTTCAGAATCCAACATTATTAACATATCAAGAATTATATAACAAATATTCTATGTCTCTCGAATGCCCGTGTTCACATTTATTAATAAAATATGATCGATTTATTCAAATTCAAGCAACATTTCATCAAATATGTACAAGCATGTTTATTAATCCCGTCTGGTTTCAACACTTTTATCGCCCATATCAAGCACTTTTTTTAACTGATTTTCGTATTTATGGTGTACCATCATTTTTTGCTTTATTAACATTTTGTCAATTAGCCAATGAAACCGTACGAGATTCAGTTGTTCAGTTTTATACAACTGCTTATATTAGTCCAAGTGTTCAACCATTATCAGAATTTCATAAAAAGGTAACACTAGAATAACAAATATTAGAAAGATAAAGAGATACACCTGCAGTAAAAGACCGTTAGAAATACACAGATGATACAAAAACGATTTGTACAATTGAACTTTTTGTATTTAATGGAAAGTGATGAATTTCCTAGCAGAAAGGGATATAGATTCCGAGTATGAAATAAACTGCGTTTCTCGACAATCTAAAGACTTGTAAAAAATATTATTCTGTTTCAAACGACTAAACTATAACTGATCTGAAAGATTGTTTATTTAAAACTGTGTACTTTTTACCTTTTCGATTTTCAGACACTTTATTTTGTAGTCGAAACAAAAGGAACTAACCAAGTTTCAAGGTCAATAGCTACTATGGTTCAAATAAGCAGCCGCAGTATTTCTCCAGAGCAATTACTTTTTTTGAATTCTCATAAAATTCTTACATGAATCTTATTAAATTTATGGTTCAGCTACGAATGTGGTATGAGATTATAAGACTTTACTAAGTACTATTTATTCATAAGATCTTCGTGAGTAATCTATAATTTTCAGTAAAAAACTTCTAATGTGATTTTTGTATGATTTTTGTAAATCTTATACGATTTATATTACGTCTGAAATGATTTCTTCGATAGATACTAGATATTCTATTAGAAGTCAGTCTTGATTTGACTACAGATAAAATTATATGACTGTCGGTAAATAGTCACTATCTACTGTATGCTATGGTTTTTTTATCGATTATCTGCATGATAGTGCATTTGGTTTATCTTTTTATCTGGATTATCAATGGCAGCTTTATTTTGTACAAAAGGCTTTTTTGATTAAGACATTGTTTTATATTTTTGCCATAGTGAACAATTTGTAAAAATGGAAAACAATAACTTTTTCGTTGCATCAAACACTTTGTGGCTTTACTTGATATGATACCTGGTAGTTTCAACATTCTATAAAATAAGTATATGGGGTCATGTAACATCTTACATAGAGAAAAATGAAAATGTTGTTCTTTTTCATTCTGATATATAATTCATGATGAAAAATGTGAAGAACTTCATTTTTCAATCAAAAGAATCTTTTTGTTCAACATGAAGTTGATATCTAGATAAAGTATTGAATCGAGCTATATATAATTCAATTAATTTCTTTTAGAATTTTTGTTTGCTTTTATGTACATTAAACATACTTTTGCAACATCATTATCGTTTTTTGCCTCCTTATTTCATATTTTTGGCAACAGAAAAGTCAGTTCAAGAATTAACCTCTTGGTCCCACAACTTCTTTCCGGCACCATTCATGAAAATCGATGTCGTACTATGCATAGTGTCATGAAAAAGTTCAAGTGATTTTGTTAGAAAAGATTTTCACCAAAAACCTTCATTTCGAGCTATCCACTGATATGTTAGAGCTTGACTGAATGTTGATAAAGTACTTAAAGTGAATTTATGAAGAACACTATAAGCATTCTCTCGTAACACTACACTAAAGAAATGTTCTTCTTTGAATTTGAAGAATAAAACATCTAGCAGTCTCGAGACTTCGAAAAGTTCGCAATGTGAACTTTAAAACTTGTTTACTTTCAAAGTTTTCTAGTCTACAACTTGTCCAACAGACAATGTTTTGAAAACTTTTCTAGAAGCTGAACTAAGTCAAAAGTTTGGACTTTACTGTAAGTTAGTAATAGTTTGTTCGTTATATTAATGTTTAATCAATTTTTCAGAAAACGATAAATCAACCATGAACTATTCTATTTTCTATAATTCATTGTTCTTCCATAAAAGTGTGAATATTTTATTACCTATGCATCGATGTTTTTCGCTATCTCTTTTTCTTATTTCTACAGGACTTAGTCAAATCATTATAAAAGGATTGTTTTCTGTTGTACATAATATAGGTGAAATTATTCGTAACCAATTTTGAATCACAAGTACCAAGTACTTTTAAACGTACATTACAATTAATTCGTCAAACAACATATGCAAATCAACTTCAAACAACAAGTGATACAAAATATTCTTTTAAAAATAGAAGTAATAATAGAATCGGTGTACGATCTATCATTAGTCAATATTCTTCTTCAAATTGTTCTTGTGTGAATAATGCAATGAAATGTTTTGATGAAACTGGTATTCGTGATGAAGATGAACTTTTATTATTTACTGTACCAAATTTTTATCGTGGCTGTTATGTAACGGAAGGTTTATATGTATCAACACTTGATTGTTTTTATTCTAAGACATGTTTAGAAAAACTTCAATCCTATATGCCAGTTTCAACAAATTTTACATCATTAAATTCATCAATAAGTCGTTATTTATCTAATACAACACTTGGCACTATAATAGATACTTTAATGATTGAAACTTGGCATGACAATATTTCATATCAATCTTATTATAATTCTTGTCAACCACAATATTGTCGTTATACATTTATTAGAAGAAAAGATTATATTTTTTTATCAAAAACATTAATGAGTGTTTTTGGTGGATTATTTAAATGGTTTAAAATTTCAACATCATTACTTATCTTTATTTTATTAAAAATACAACAACGATTTTGGACAAAAAAATTATCAATACAAAAATTTTTAAGATTCATATATAAAAAATTAATTCAACTTAATTTATTTCAAAAAGATAAACAAATGTCATCCGAAGAAGATATTCGATTTGAAAGACGAATAACATGGTTTTATATAATTTCAGTTGCATTAACATTGTGTATATTAACAATCTATAATATTAGTTTACCACACACAAAAACAATAAAATTTGATTGGCCAGATTTAATAACTTATAATAAATTGAATAAAAAATATAGATTAGAAAATTTTCAATGTTATTGTTCTCGTGTTTTTATTAAATATAGATTATTTATTCATTTGCAACCTGTTTATCATCCAATTTGTTCAAGTGTCTATATTCAACAATCATGGATCAATTATTTATCGAACAATGGACAAATAAATGAAATATTATATTTTAATAATAAAGATTTTCGATTAACTGCTTCATCACAATTTCAAATGCTTTCAATTCTATGTCAATCCATAAATAAAACTGTACATGATTCGATTGAACAATTTTATTCGAATGGGTATGTAAACTCTAAAGTTTTGTCTAAGAAGTTGTTTTATTCTCAAACATCGTCGAATATTAAACAATTTAAAATTCATACGAGAAATATATATACTGAAGTATTTGGTTTAATTCGAAATCTAACACATATAAATCAGATTCCAACAACATATTCAACAAATTTTAAATGGTTTATTAAAGATAATGATTATAAAACAAATCCCGTGCTTAAGATTGCTCCTGTGCAATACAACAACAATTCGTGTAGTTGTTCAAGAACATCAAAATGTGTTGAACCGGCCAAATTTTATAACAAGTGAGTAAGCATTTTTCTTAAATAACGAAACTTAAATGTGGTCATCTGAGGTCTGAAGGGCATCCCTTAGGAATCACAATTTTAGGTTGAAAAAACCAATTTCGAGGTAAGCATATGGAAAGACAGCCTGAAGTGTCCATTTTAGAATCTGCATCAGTGGTTTTTTGTGGTTCTCAAACAAGTTTTCTAGGAGCCTAGAAAATCAGAATCATCAAATAATAATCTTTCCTGAACATTTTTTGGAAGCGAACTTTTTTCTGACTGCGTACACTTGTAGAGTAAACTTTTCTGATCAATATAAGACGTCGTACAACTCTCTATAATCTTACATCAAATGACCAATCAATGTGCAGTGTTTTCTCCCAAATCTAAAGAAGATTCTAGAGTGTAGAGTGATTTTTGACTATTGAGTTCTAGGAAACTTCTGAATAGTGTGGGATAAAGAGCTAAAAAAATCTTATGATCACACATTTAGGTTGGCAGCAGTTGCGAAAAATTTCATCAAAATTGAACGCAAGATAGAATAGTTCTTATTCTGAGGGAAGAGGCCCTTCAAATACGAATAGCAAGAAACTGAATACTTTCTATTTGTATAACACGTATTCAGATGTTTATCCAAAATTTGTCTTACAATTATAGAAATAGGACGACAACAGTAATTCCTGGTTTTCATATTGGTTGTCTTCCAGTTGAATCAATCATGCAGTCTTCACTTAAATGTCTTTATAGTGAAATTTGCATTAATAAAATAAAATCCCATGTAAAACAATCAACCATAGACCCCAAAATAACAGTTGCTCTTCATCATTCGTCGTCAAGTCGTTTTCCACCTGACATGATTGTTGAAGAAATTATAAAGAAATTAATGATTGAAAATTGGAGTAAAAACATATCGTTTAACGCTTATTATCAAGAATGTTTACCGAAATATTGCATTTATACGTATGTCAAATATTTTGACTTATTTCATGTCACTACAACACTTATTGGTTTCTTCGGCGGTTTTACTACTATATTTGAAGTAATTGTAGAAATTGTTATGAAAATTATTCGACCTTTAACTTATCATTATCGAACAAAAAGAAACAACAAGAGCAAGCGGTTAAATTTAATAGTAAGCAATAGCTCAATAAAGTTTACTAGCTTGTATATATCTAATTTGAAATTAGAAATGAGTCATTAGTTATTGAATATCTCGAGATAGAAAAGAGCTACCTCTTGCAGTTTTTCATTTCTATAGTTAATTATGCTTTCATAAGTAAAAGATGTGTTTGAAATTATTTCTCCAACACCATTTTCTTAAGGCCTCTGAAAACCATTATCAAAATAGAAAACTTGATCCAGTAGTGTATTTGCTATTTTTATGGATAAGTAACTCAGTATCCTCTTCAAAATGAAAACCAAGCGATCTCTGAATTATGTGCGGCATCCGATTTTCTACAATCCTAAGGAGCTACACATTTTTTAGGTGTGGCAACCTTGAAACTGAACAGCAATATCCACGCTGAGTGTCTTAGCAACGTTTATTTTATTTGGAAAACCTAGTAGACATCTGTATTAAGTGGAAGACCCACGTTTTCCTAATTTAGCGTAACGTCAGAAAACACTCAGTATCCATTCTGACTGCATTAGAACCAGAGCCCTGCGGGATTGGGATAAGGATTGAAGAAAAAACATTTACGGGATCGGGATTAATCTTACAGGACGGGATTGGGGCGAGAAACTCAATCCCGTAGGGCTCTGGTGTGCTGTATAAACGATTCTATCATATTTTTTCTGATAATATAACGTAAAAAAGAGAAAACATGAACGTTAGCACACTCTTCAATAATTTACTGGTTGTTGTCCTTTGGCTAATACGACAGTCAATCAGATTGTTTTTTTCAGCCTGCCACACATGAGTAGCAGCTGCCTGTATTTCAGTGAAAAATTTTTCGGGATTTGACGGGATCGGGACAGGGATTGAAAAAAAAATATTTACGGGATCGGGATCGGGTCGAAAAAACTCAATCCCGCAGGGCACTAATTAGAATATCAATACATGCTCAGTTTTGTTTGTTCATTCTGATCATACATCTATGATAAGCAAAAATTATTCTATTACTTTAGAAGATCGTTAGAAAAACCCAAAGTATTTTCTGTTGATTTTTTTAAACTCTTATTAAATTTCATCGTGCTTTATAGGAAAAAAATGAGTAAATTAAAAAAATAAAATACGCTGCTATATTAAATTTCTGTTTTCAGAGCTGCTTAAAAAGCCCGTGTTAGAGAAACAATTTCAATCACATTTAGCTAATGAAAGGATGCTCAACTATAGAGAAGGAAAAACTGCAAGGATTTAGCTCTCAATAACTGACTTATCACCTTTTAATTTCAAATAGATATGACGTCTGTGTATGAGTGTTACTTCTAATTGGAAAACCTTTAATACTGAGTTTTAAAACCTTAACAAATTTAAGGTTTAAAAAAAGATTTTCTGAAAAACCTTTGGCGTTCTATTACGCCTTTCGACGTTTTTCTCTAGGATGGTCTCTTAATGAGGGTATCCCTCTATTCTGAGGAGATTTACGTTGTCTTATATTTACTTCGCAAGAGATCTTCTGGATAGTGGTCTAATGAAACTGTTCAAGGAGGTATGAGCCTTTTTGTATTTTAGATATTTTCGTTCTGTAGTCGTATAAGGTCCTTTTTTGAAATCTTCGCTGCCACATTCTCTAATAAGTCACTATTGCATATTTTGCTTCAAAATGTAAATTTAAAATAATGGTCAGTTTTACAACAATTGATCAAGATTCTCCACTTTCTACCTAAAAAATCAGAAACTTTTCAAATTTGTTTCAGATTATTTAATGCGCTTTGAATATTCGTTCTATCTTGTTTATGGTACATTTAAATGTCCTCTTTCCTCTAAACTGTATTTTTCGCTTAACCATCTATCTTTATAAGTACATAATAAATACATCGATCGATTTAATTTTGTTTTGATGCGAGATATTTTCCAAATGGCACCAAAAGGGCTCTAATCATTATCCTACATAAGCCCAATAAAACTTTTCAAAGGTTACATATTGAAATTGATAACTTTTCGAAGGTTAGTCGATAATTTGCGAAAACTTCTAAGTTAGTTAGAAAGTGAAAAGTTTTGGTCATTTGTTGCATAACTGATCCATCATTTTAATGAAGCTTGTCAGCGCTGCTCTTTTGAAGTAAAAAAGGCGGAAACTTCCCAAACTTTGATGAAACTATGTTATTCTTTTTTTTCTACTTGAACTGAAAAGTAGGTACAGAATCGGAAATATGATGCTGGTCTTTGTAGAGCGATCAATTATTTAGTTAGTTAAACATCTGTACTATCATTATGAATAAGTTTTATGGTGACAATGATTTCATTATTATGTTTACCGTTTAAATTTATTATTAAATGTGACATAAGTTAATTGATGAGGCATTTGTGTTAGTGAAGTCATCCTCTCAAATAAAAAAATTTACGTGCTTCTCGCATACATTTGGATGTCTGTGTCAATCATTTTGCTCGACTTTGAACGTCCGTGTCACCCCTACATTGATGTATGCATCGCACAATACATTGGTTTCTTAAAACCAAAAAAATTGAATGGAAAGAGAAACAGGACTTAATATGTCAATTAGCGCTAATCAAAAAAATTGATTATGTGTCAGTCAACTCGTTTCCTTAGGTCAAAGAAGCCGGAATGGCTATTGCCACCAGTTGATGGTGTCAGCTAGAGCTATTGCCACCATTTGGTAAAAACTTATGCTAGGAAATGGCATTGAATTCCACTGCTGTTTTCGCGAGAATAGAATGATTTCCCTTCAGTATTTCTTCATGTGAGTTTAAAGGCTTTAGATTAGTTAGTTCAAAGATTTTGTATGTCAAGAAGCTTGCGTGTATTGTTTACCGCTCTAGCTTAACCTTTAGAAGTTTGATAAGGAATAAAAACTGAGTCTAGATAATCCCGAAATCCTAAAGGTCTACCACATTGTGCGAAGAAACCACTCTTAAGCATTTGCTTTTAATTTTTTTATTGTAATATTCACGCTAATTATCCTTCTCTATCTTAGTGACTTTCAGTGAGTTCTTTTTGATCTTGGAGGTAGTTAGTTTATAGTTTTTCCTGATCTGCCAAAGACTGACAGCTTTTTCTTTTCCCTAGAGTCGTTCTGGAGGCACCGTGACTCTCTGAAACTGGTTCTTCGACGAAATGTCACATGACGTATAGACAAAAAAATACTAATAAATACAAATACTGAAAATTGAGTATTCGTTTCACCCAATGTATGTGTTTGTACCATTTGCGCAAAACCGACTTTTTATACGGGGAATAGAATCGGGGCAAAAATTTTTTTTTAACACATTTTTTAATAAAAACACAACGACCCAACGTAATTTGTAAAAATAAACAGTAT